CGCTTCGCCTATGAGAAAAAGGAGCAGCGCATGAACCGAACGCCACACACGCGAACCGAACCGAGACAGTCGAACCGAACGGTTCGGACAAACCGTTCCATCCCTAATGTCCAGGTAGAGTCACCAAGTCAGTCCCACTCTAAACGTAATGTGACAATGTTTTCTGCTGCAGCCCCACTGAGTCCGTTTATAAGAATTACAGCTTTCTCTCATCTCCAAGCTTTGCAAAACTACTTAAAAGGCCACATGTGTTGATTTTTAACTTTTTCCCTAATATTTCAAGTATTTTTTTTGTACCTACTTGTAATAATTTCTGTGAAATAGTTTAAGTCTGGAACTAACTATTATTTTTCAAAATGATAAATCTGTCGATTATTTTTTCAAATAACAATGGGATAGCAAAATGTTCCTTAAAGAAACCTTATTATAAATTTAAACCAGGTAAAACTAAAGCTTTTCCACTTGAGGCCTTTGGCATTTTGATAGATGAAAAGGTTTATTTTTTGTTTTTTTTATTTTAAATGCAAAATGTTTACTTTTTTTTAATTTATTTTTTATAAATGCTACTCAAGGTGGGTTGCTCTCTCAGCTAAAGGCGTGTTTTACAGTCTCTCCACTCCAGTTAATGATTAGTTAAATACTTAATTAGTTCACGATTATTTGAAAAATTGATTAATCCGTTTAAAGGTTTCAGCCCTAAAATATTTGCTGTTTTAGCGACTAAGCTGCTCATCTCTCTCATAAGGCCTGCTCTGCACAGAGATCTGTTGAAATATGATGTTTAAAACCAAAACAATAAAGTTAAAATGAAAAAGAAGAGAAAAAGCAAACCTATAAAGGTTCTCTGCAGTTCCAAGTTTGAAAGTGCTCCATACAAACTAATCAACTGGAACAAAATATGGATTTTCTGCAGTGGAATGTGATGCGACATATGAATAGACAAGATTTACAAAGCATCTCATGTTGTCAGAAGTTTACTGTAGTTTTTTTTAACCAGCAGTGTTGGAGCAGTAAAATAAAACATTCCTGCACAAACTCGGTAGCAGTGAGGAAAAATGTAAGCTGCAGTCATGAACCTAACCGATCTGTGGGCAAAGTGCAAGTCTAATACTACTAAACCAATTGTAATGTAAACAGTGTAAGGCTGGCAAAATTGGATGTTCTGTTTTCTGTCATATTTTACTTAATTGTTAATCAATTACTTTGGTATTTAAAGCTAAAATAAAGAATCAGGTGATGAGAAAAGTTATACTTTATGGAGCCAGAGAGGAGGGACTCCACCAGTCTGCGTCCAGGGTGTGTGGGATCGGCCGCACGTCTCCATGTCCTGGAGCGATGGGAGGATGCACCTGAATAAAACAATCAAATAGATAAAAATAAATAAAGATCAATTTATGCATTTTAGAGCTTTAATTTCTATTTTTGGATCATTTTCACATTGAAAGAATAATACCTCAGATTAGCTTAAAATATATTCAAACTATTTCATATTTGGGTTATTTGCAAGTATATTTAACTAGAATTCTATTCTGCTCAAAATGCATGTAAAGATTGAAAAGAGTGAGTTTTTTATGTTAATAGATTCACTTTTTATGCCTCCAATTATTTGCAATTTTTTATCCCCACAGTATCGAGTATACATTTCTTTTTTTTTTTTTCTTGGGCATCGATATTGAGTTTGAAACTTTAGTATCATGACAACCCCTGTATAAAATACATTAAAATTTAGTAATGAAAGTGTGAAAATATTTTCTTAACATCTCAAAGCCGAAAAAACTGATCAACTTCTTTTTTAACTGCAGCTTCAAACTGTTTTTCTGTTGAATGTTTATTTTCTTATGGATCTATTTTTAGTTTCCTGTTTTTATGGTCTAATATGGGACTTCTTTTTTAGGTGAAGCTACATACAGGGTTCCCGTGGGTCTTAAAAAGTCTTAAAAAGTCTTGAATTTAACTTATGCCTGTCGCTGTCGGAACCCTGTACATAAATAAACATATAAATGATTAAGTTGTTGAAGTTATTTCTCATTAATGTGTACGTCTTAGTTTTCCATCGTAATGATCTTGAATTATAAAACTATTTTTAGTTTCCTGTTTTTATTGTCTAATATAGCTCTCAATTTTTAGGTGAAGCTACATAAATAAACATACAAATGATTAAATTGTTGAATGATCAGTTATTTTTCATTAAGTCTTAGTTTTCCATTGTAATGATCTTGAATAATAAAAATATTTTTAGAAAGCGTTAATTTACCCCATTCATACCATCACAGTCACTCAGTTTCCTTCATTCAAATCCCACTTAGTTGGAATATTGAACGCTCCGAATCCTCTCTGAAATCCTGGGATCTGGAGGACAATGTTTGGTTTCCCAGACCTCTAAGAGGAAACGGGAATATTTTCTCCTCTGTTCTCATCACGAGGTCTTAAAGCATCGACTAAATCAGTTTTTTTAGTCACATTTGCCACATGTGTTAACTCCGTTTCAGACTTCCCCGTCATTTCGCAGTGACTCGCCTGTTTAATTCTGTCCTTTAATAAGTTCGCGACCCGGCTTCTCTTCACCAGAGGACATAAATACCGTCACTTTGACCTTGTATATTCGTCACACACTTGTTTTACAGGTTCTTTTTATTTTAAACATCTGTTTTTGATGGTTCACAGCCCAGTAAGGCAGCATGTTTCTAACAGCTATTAAAGCGGGACTTTTTTTGTTTTNTATTTTTAGTTTCCTGTTTTTATGGTCTAATATGGGACTTCTTTTTTAGGTGAAGCTACATACAGGGTTCCCGTGGGTCTTAAAAAGTCTTAAAAAGTCTTGAATTTAACTTATGCCTGTCGCTGTCGGAACCCTGTACATAAATAAACATATAAATGATTAAGTTGTTGAAGTTATTTCTCATTAATGTGTACGTCTTAGTTTTCCATCGTAATGATCTTGAATTATAAAACTATTTTTAGTTTCCTGTTTTTATTGTCTAATATAGCTCTCAATTTTTAGGTGAAGCTACATAAATAAACATACAAATGATTAAATTGTTGAATGATCAGTTATTTTTCATTAAGTCTTAGTTTTCCATTGTAATGATCTTGAATAATAAAAATATTTTTAGAAAGCGTTAATTTACCCCATTCATACCATCACAGTCACTCAGTTTCCTTCATTCAAATCCCACTTAGTTGGAATATTGAACGCTCCGAATCCTCTCTGAAATCCTGGGATCTGGAGGACAATGTTTGGTTTCCCAGACCTCTAAGAGGAAACGGGAATATTTTCTCCTCTGTTCTCATCACGAGGTCTTAAAGCATCGACTAAATCAGTTTTTTTAGTCACATTTGCCACATGTGTTAACTCCGTTTCAGACTTCCCCGTCATTTCGCAGTGACTCGCCTGTTTAATTCTGTCCTTTAATAAGTTCGCGACCCGGCTTCTCTTCACCAGAGGACATAAATACCGTCACTTTGACCTTGTATATTCGTCACACACTTGTTTTACAGGTTCTTTTTATTTTAAACATCTGTTTTTGATGGTTCACAGCCCAGTAAGGCAGCATGTTTCTAACAGCTATTAAAGCGGGACTTTTTTTGTTTTTTTTTTGCTCACTCTTGCGATTTTAATTTCTCTTTTTAAAGCTTGCTGACAGCAGATTCTTTGAAGCTCAGCCATGACTTGGTGTCTATTGTCAAGCCGGCGTATTTAGCCCAATAAGTGACAGTTGTCAGTGATTCACTTGGAACAAGCGGAGCTGGCCAAACATGTTTAGGTAGTCACTCCCAGCAGAGTCATTTTTTTTGTTTTGTGTGAAAAAAAAATGCAGTCGTGTTTGTTCTTTACAGCCTGGAAGGCCTGCGGTTGAACCTCTGCGGGGTTTTGTCTCCGTTGAATTTCTGGTAAATAGTTTCTAAGCTTTATGTGGGCTGCAATTGAAC